AACAAGATAATATTGAACAAGAAGAAATTTTAGCATGAGCTCAGGAAAATAATTCCTATATCAAACTTCTCAGTATAATTGCTGGAGCCATTATGCTGCATAATATTGTTGGAGCCATTAGTATTAATCATAGTAATCATCATTTATTATAAGTGCAGCATAGAGAACAATTCTGCAGTAGTAGGGAGATGGAACAGATAGACTTGAAGAGCTACGTCCCTTCAATTCCACGATGCTGTGCCTACTATGAATTCTAAGAACAGAAGGTCTTAAGCACTTCATTATCAAAGAAAAGTGCCGCCTGATCACATCCAAGCAAGTGTCTTCTTTGAAATTCTACTCCTTTAATGAAAGAAGATAATTCTTAATATAACTGACTCAGTTGAAAAAAACACTAGATCCAAGAATGTTCTGTTTATTGTTTGTTATTGGGAGCATGTGTATCCATCTCCCTATTTTTTTCCTCTTTAAGAAGTAATCTGCAAAATAAGTTTATCTTGTTATTGTGTATAATTATTTGTTTATCTTGGAACTGTGTGCAAAATAAATCAGGTAAAGGATAAAGAATGGAACTATAGTAGAAAAATTAAAGAAATTTAGATTTAGTAAATTGATTTAGATTACTTTTAATTGAATTTTTTACTGAGATAATTGTAGATTCACATACAGTTATAACAAATAATACAGAAAGTACCTTCTACTCAGTTTCCCTCAACACTTTGCAAAACTCTAATATCACAACCAGGATACTGACATTGATACATTCCACTGACCTTATTCATATTTCCCCAGCTTAACATGTACACATTTGTATGTACTCAGTCCTATACAATTTTATCACATATGTAGGTTCATGCATCTATCACCACAGCCAACATATAGAACAGTCCATCACCACAAGGATCCTTCCTGTTGCTCTTTTATAACAACATCCAGCTCTCCTCTCCCCCCATTCTTAACTCCTGGCAACCACTAATCTGTGTTCCATTTCTAAAATTTTGTCATTTCAAACATATTGCATAAAAGAATCATACAGGGGCTTCCGGGAAGATGGCGGAAGAGTAAGACGCGGAGACCACCTTCGTCCCCACAGATACACCAGAAATACATCTACACATGGAGCAACTCCTACAGAACACCTACTGAACGCTGGCAGAAGACCTCAGACCTCCCAAAAGGCAAGAAACGCCCCCCACATATCTGGGTAGGGCAAAAGGATAAAGAATAAACAGAGACAAAAGGATAGAGACGGGACCGGCACCAGTGGGAGGAAGCTGTGAAGGAGGAAAAGTTTCCACACACTAGGAAGCCCCTTCGCGGGCGGAGACCGCGGGTGGCGGAGGGGGAAAGCTTCGGAGCCGCAGAGGAGAGCACAGCCACAGGGGTGCGGAGGGCAAAGCGGAGAGATTCCCGCACAGAGGATCAGGGCCGACCGGCACTCACCAGCCCGAGAGGCTTGTCTGCTCACCCGCCGGGGCAGGCGGGGCTGGGAGCTGAGGCTTGGGCTTCGGTCGGAGCGCAGGGAGAGGACTGGGGTTGGCGGCGTGAACAAGCCTGCAGGGGGTTAGTGCGCCACAGCTAGCCGGGAGGGAGTCCGGGGAAAAGTCTGGAGCTGCCGAAGAGGCAAGAGACTTTTTCTTACCTCTTTGTTTCCTGGTGCGCGAGGAGAGGGGATTAAGAGCGCTGCTTAAAGGAACTCCGGAGACGGGCGCGAGCCGCGGCTAAAAGCGCGGACCCCAGAGACGGGCATGAGACGCTAAGGCTGCTGCTGCCGCCACCAAGACGCCTGTGTGTGAGCACAGGTCACTATCCACACCCCCCTTTCGGGGAGCCTGTGCAGCCCGCCGCTGCCAGGGTCCCGGGATCCAGGGTCAACTCCTCCGGGAGAACGCTCGGCGCGCCTCAGGCTGGTGCAACGTCACGCCAGCCTCTGCCGACGCAGGCCCGCCCCGCACTACGTGCCCCTCCCTCCCCCGCGGCCTGAGTGAGCCAGAGCCCACGAATCAGCGGCTCCTTTAACCCCGTCCTGTCTGAGGGAAGAACAGACGCTCTCCGGCGACCGACACGCAGAGGCGGGGCCAAATCCAAAACTGAGCCCCTGGGAGCTGTGAGAACAAAGAAGAGAAAGGGAAATCTCTCCCAGCAGCCTCAGGAGCAGTGGATTAAAGCTCCACAATCAACTTGATGTACCTGCATCTGTGGAATACATGAATAGACAACCAATCATCCCAAACTGAGGTGGACTTTGAGAGCAAGATTTATTATTTTTTCCCCTTTTCCTCTTTTTGTGAGTGTGTATGTGTATGCTTCTGTGTGAGATATAGTCTGTATAGCTTTGCTTCCACCATTTGTCCTAGGGATCTATCCGTCCATTTTTTTAAAAAATTGTTTTTCTTAATAATTATTTTTTATTTTAATGACTTTATTTTACTTTATCTTCTTTCTTTCTTTCTCTTTCTTTCTTTCTTTCTTTCTTTCTTTCTTTCTTTCTTTCTTTCCTTCCTTCCTTCCTTCCTTCCCTCCTTTAGACAACGAATCATCCCAAACTGAGGAGGTGGACTTTGAGAGCAAGATTTATGATTTTTTCCCCTTTTCCTCTTTTTGTGAGTATGTGTGTGCTTCTGTGTGAGATTTTGTCTGTATAGCTTTGCTTCCACCATTTGTCCTAGGGTTCTATCCGTCCATTTTATTATTTTTTAAATTTTTTTTAATAATTATTTTTTTATTTTAATAACTTTATTATATTTTATCTTACTTTATTTTATTTTACTTTATCTCCTTTCTTTTTTTTCCTTCCTTCCTCCCTCCCTCCCTCCTCTCTTTCTTTCTTTCTTTCTCTCTTTCTACTTCTACTAATTCTTTCTTTCTACTTTTTCTCCCTTTTATTCTGAGCCGTGTGGATGAAAGGCTCTTGGTGCTGCAGCCAGGAGTCAGTGCTGTGCCTCTGAGGAGGGAGAGCCAACTTCAGCACACTGGTCCACAAGAGACCTCTTAGCTCCACATAATATCAAACGGCGAAAATCTCCCAGAGCTCTCCATCTCAACACAATTACCCAGCTTCACTCAACGACCAGCAAGCTACAGTGCTGGACATCCTATGCCAAACAACTAGTAAGACAGGAACACAACCCCACCCATTAGCAGAGAGGCTGCCTAAAATCATAGTAAGTCCACAGACACCCCAAAACACACCACCAGACATGGACCTGCCCACCAGAAAGACAAGATCCAGCCTCATCCACCAGAACACAGGAAACCTACACAACCCTCTGAACCAACCTTAGCCACTGGGGACAGACGCCAAAAACAACAGGAACTTCGAACCTGCAGCCTGCAAAAAGGAGACCCCAAACACAGTGAGATAAGCAAAATGGGAAGAAAAACACAACGCAGATGAAGGAGCAAGATAAAAACCCACCAGACCTAACAATTGAAGAGGAAATAGGCAGTCTACCTGAAAAAGAATTCAGAATAATGATAGTAAAGATGACCCAAAATCTTGGAAATAGAATAGACAAAATTCAAGAAACATTTAACAAGGACCTAGAAGAACTAAAGATGAAACAAACAACGATGAACAACACAATAAATGAAATGAAAAATACTCTAGATGGGATCAATAGCAGATTAACTGAGGCAGAAGAATGGATAAGTGACCTGGAAGATAAAATAGTGGAAATAACTACTGCAGAGCAGAATAAATAAAAAAGAATGAAAAGAACTCACAACAGTCTCAGAGACCTCTGGGACAACATCAAACACACCAACATTCAAATTATAGGGGTTCCAGAAGAAGAAGAGAAAAAGAAAGGGACTGAGAAAATATCTGAAGAGATTATAGTTGAAAACTTCCCTAATATGGGAAAGGAAATAGTTAATCAAGTCCAGGAAGCACAGAGAGTCCCATACAGGATAAATCCAAGGAGAAATACGCCAAGACACATATTAATCAAACTGTCAAAAAGTAAATACAAGAAAACATATTAAAAGCAGCAAGGGAAAAACAACAAATAACACACAAGGGAATCCCCATAAGGTTAACAGCTGATCTTTCAGCAGAAACTCTGCAAGCCAGAAGGGACGGGCAGGACATATTTAAAGTGATGAAGGAGAAAAACCTGCAACCAGGATTACTCTACCCAGCAAGGATCTCATTCAGATTCGATGGAGAAATTAAAACCTTTACAGACAAGCAAAAGCTGAGAGTTCAGCACCACCAAACCAGCTTTACAACAAATGCTAAAGGAACTTCTCTAGGCAAGAAACACAAGAGAAGGAAAAGACCTACAATAACGAACCCAAAACAATTAAGAAAATGGGAATAGGAACATACATAGCGATAATTACCTTAAATGTAAATGGACTAAATGCTCCCATCAAAAGACACAGATTGACTGAATGGATACAAAAACAAGACCCATATATTTGTTGTCTACAAGAGACCCACTTCAGACCTAGAGACACATACAGACTGAAAGTGAGGGGATGGAAAAAGATATTTCATGCAAATGGAAACCAAAAGAAAGCTGGAGTAGCAATTCTCATATCAGACAAAATAGACTTTAAAATCAAGACTATTAGAAGAGACAAAGAAGGACACTACATAATGATCAAGGGATCGATCTAAGAAGAAGATATAACAATTGTAAATATTTATGCACCCAACATAGGAGCACCTCAATACATAAGGCAAATACTAACAGCCATAAAAGGGGAAATCAACAGTAATACATTCATAGTAGGGGATTTTAACACCCCACTTTCACCAATGGACAGATCATCCAAAATGAAAATAAATAAGGAGACACAAGCTTTAAATGATACTTTAAACAAGATGGGCTTAATTGATATTTATAGGAAATTCCATCCAAAAACAACAGAATACCCATTTTTCTCAAGTGCTCATGGAACATTCTCCAGGATAGATCATACCTTGGGTCACAAATCAAGCCTTGGTAAATTTAAGAAAATTGAAATTGTATCAAGTATCTTTTCCGACCACAACGCTATGAGACTAGATATCAATTACAGGAAGAGATCTGTAAAAAATACAAACACATGGAGGCTGAACAATACACTACTTAATAACGAAGTGATCACTGGAAGAAAGGCCCTTTTTCAATTTTACTCTAGAGGCCTAGACTATTCTTAAAGCCTAAAAGATTTTAACATCTTTTTGGCTTTAAGCATATGCAATTTCTTTCGAGAATTAAATGTGCCAAAGAAATTTAAATTTCTTAAATGTAGGCTAAGGGGAGACTACTTATTATTTTCACCACTAGGTGAAAATTGTGCCAGTTTTATTTTCTTGGTGACTGGAAAATGTCTCTCTAATAAAATCCATGTTTTTCTCAAAGTTTTTTTTTTTTTCCTGCAACAGGTTGATTCTGTCCCACTGGGCTAGAGAGTATTGTTAATTATAACAATAAGATACACAAAGAAAAAAAAATCTCAAAAATTTTCAGATCAGGAAATGCTTAAATGTTTCCAACAAATGTTTATCAGGAAATGTTATTCCAGAATCAAAACATTTCCTGTCTGATGATTATGCCATGGAGAAAAATCATGTGATGCCAGTTATGCGGTCTTATAAAAAAGAATTTTTATGATGGGACATATTTGTTTGGAAAAAAAATCCATTATAAGTAACATGAGATAGATGAGAATTGCCCAGAATCATACTTTTTAAAAAAGTTGATTATTCACATTAAAATCTAAACCTTAAACCTTACAGAAAAATATAAGGAATAAAGTAGAAATTCACCAACATCTCACTACTCAGAGACGACCACTCTTAATATTTAAATGAACATAATTCCAGGCAGGTCTTGGTGCATATATACACAATTGTGTTCAATTTTATGTAAATAGTTTTAATGTTACGTATCATATCAGCAACATATCATAGATATCTTTCCCTGTCAATAAGTCTAGAACTGCAGTGTAAGTTCATAATTGTGCATATGTATCATGTGTATCCATTGGGACATTCCAAGCTTCAGCAGCAGCTCTCCAAATATCAAGTCCTCATGAGACAATATGAAAAAAGCCTGAAGAGAAGAAAGGAGCAGCTGAGTGGGTGGAGAGGTCTTTCTTCAGCGTGACCTTCCTCATAAGTGTCTTCATCGGGGACTAGTCACCTGCCGACCCCAGACACTGCCAATGAGAATGGATTGATATGACGCACTCACACAAGCCAGGATTTCTTCTCTGTGACTGACCGCATCACTACCTAAACAAAAACAGGGTTCTGTGAGCAAGAAAAAAGGGAAGGAACACATGAAGCAAATTTAAACCCATGAATTCACAATGATACCAACAGACAAACTCATTTGGTCACCATTGGAGACTGTTAGTGAAACAACTCATTATTTTGTAAACTAGCAAGTTAAGAGAAAGAATTAAATGCTTATCTTGCTCTCACTGGGAAACCAAATCATCAAGGAAAGTAATTTCCGTTTATAGAAGTATTCCAGCTAATAAATGGAGGAGAAATGATGGAGTTAGGAGATCACCATTTATAACACTAGATGTTAATCTAATTCAGTTGACTGTGCCCAGTATAGTATGGATATAGGCATTGAGCATCAACAATTACTAACTTCACAGAAAGAAACAATCCAACATCACATGCCTCCTGATGGAAGGACACGCCACCATCTAAGAAGTCATCTTGCCAAGAAAAAAAGAAGAACCCAAATCTAACCAAGACTCTAGATTACCAATTTATGAAAAGCATGAAGAGTGCATTCAGCAAAAACCAGATTTTGGAAAATCCAGAGGACAAATAACCTAGTTTCTTTAACAAATAAATTTCAAGGAAACAAAAGGAACTGAAGAGGGAACCTATGGATTAAAAGAGACTTAAAAGACATATCAACCAATTGCAATGAGTAGACTTTATTTGAATCCTGAGTCACTGAAACTGTTAAAAAATATATATGGTACTTGTGAAGGTAATTAAAAATTTGAACTCTGAAAAGATGTCCCATGATCAAGGAATTCATGTTAGTTTTTGAAAGTATGATAGTATTTTGGTTATGCTTTTTATGAAAGAGTTCTTATCTTTTAGAAACATCCATTGAAATATTTACAGATGAAATGATAAGATGCTTCAAAATAATGTGGTGGTGGAGAGAAGTATTGATAAAACAATTTTGGCTGTGAATTGCTAATTGCTGAAGCTGAATGATGAGTACTTGGGGGCTTATTAATCTTTCTGCCTATTTTTGTATATGTTTGAAATTTTTCCTAATAAAAAGTAAAAGAAAGAAAGAAGAAAAGAAAGGAAGGAAGGAAGGGAGAGAGGGCAGCTTTTAGGTAGGCAACCAACAGTATTTGCCATACTTGAATTAATCTAATTAGTTTGTCATAGAACATATAGGCTGTTTTCCATTTTTTCCTAATTATAAAAATGCTGTGACATACATCCTTCTGCATACATCTTTTCATATTAATAGATTCCTAAAGGTGGGATTATTGAGTCAAAGGACAAATTTAACACATAAAGTCAAACTGCCTTCAAAAGGGCTCTACCAAACCACACTTTCAAATGGATTTTTAAATTATTTAAATAATATCATTGAGATTCTTATTAGGATAGCATTAGACTTACAAATTTATCTTAGGAAAATTGACATCCTTACATTATTGAATCTTCCCGTCTAAAAACAAATAGCCAAAGCAATCTTGAGAAAGAAAAACGGAGCTGGAGGAATCAGGCTCTCACACTTCAGACTATACTACAAAGCTACAGTAATCAAGGCAGTATGGTACTGGCACAAAAACAGAAATATAGATCAATGGAACAGGATAGAAAGCCCAGAGATAAACCCATGCACATATGGTCACCTTATCTTTGATAAAGGAGGAAGGAATATACAATGGAGAAAAGACAGCCTCTTCAATAAGTGGTGCTGGGAAAACTGAACAGCCACATGTAAAAGAATGAAATTAGAACACTTCCTAACACTATACACAAAAATAAACTCAAAATGGATTAAAGACCTAAATGTAAGGCCAGTCACTATAAAACTCTTAGAGGAAAACATAGGCAGAACACTCTATGACATACATCACAGCAAGATCCTTTTTGACCCACTTCTTAGAGAAATGGAAATAAAACCAAAAATAAACAAATGGGACCTAATGAAACTTCAGAGCTTTTGCACAGCAAAGAAACCATAAACAAGATGAAAAGACAACCCTCAGAATGGGAGAAAATATTTGCAAATGAAGCAACTGACAAAGGATTAATCTGTAAAATATACAAATAGCTCATGCAGCTTAATATCAAAAAAACAAACAACCCAATCCCAAAATGGGCAGAAGACCTAAACAGACATTTCTCTAAAGAAGATATACAGATTGCCAACAAACACATGAAAGGATGCTCAACATCACTAATCATTAGAAAAATGCAAATCAAAACTACAATGAGGTATCACCTCACACCAGTTAGAATGGGCATCATCAGAAAATCTATAAACAACAAATGCTGGAGAGGGTGTGGAGAAAAGGGAACCCTCCTGCACTGTTGGTGGGAATGTAAATTGATACAGCCACTATGGAGAACAGTATGGAAGTTCGTCAAAAAACTAAAAATAGAAGTACCATATGACCCAGCAATCCCACTACTGGGCATATACCCTGAGAAAACCATAATTCAAAAAGAGTCATGTACCACAATGTTCACTGCAGCACTATTTACAATAGCCAGACATGGAAGCAACCTAAGTGTCCATTGACAGATGAATGGATAGAGAAGATGTGGCACATATATACAATGGAATATTACTCAGCCATAAAAAGAAACGAAATTGAGTTATGTGTAGAGAGGTGGATGGACCTAGAGTCTGTCATACAGAGTGAAGTAAGTCAGAAAGAGAAAAACAAATACCGAATGCTAACACATATACATGGAATCTAAAAAAAAAAAAAAAAGGTTCTTATGAACCTAGGGGCGGGCGACAGGAATAAAGACACAGATATAGAGAATGGACTTGAGGACACAGGGAGGGGGAAGGGTAAGCTGGGACTAAGTGAGAGAGTAGCATTGACATATATACACTACCAAATGTAAAATAGATAGCTAGTGGGAAGCAGCTGCATAGCACAGGAGATCAGCTCGGTGCTTTATGTCCACCTAGAGGGGTGGGATAGGGAGGGTGGGAGGGAGGTGCAAGAGGGAGGGGATATGGGGATATATGTATACATATAGCTGATTCACTTTGTTATACAGCAGAAACTAACACACCATTGTAAAGTAACTGTACTCCAAAAAAGATGTTAAAAAATAATTTAAAAATAAAAAAACAGTATTCCTCTCAATTTTGCCTTCCTCTGTCTCAGTAGTTTTATAGTTTTCTAACTGATTTTTGTATATTGAGTTTGTAACTGGCCACATCACTAAACTCTATAATTTCTAAAAGTTTTTCAGTTTATATTCCTGGGTTTTCAAGGTATATTTTGGTCATGCCAAAAGTAAGAGCAATTAAGGTGGTGGTTGACAAAGAGATCCAGAAAAACTCAAACTCAGCTCTTGACCTGCTTTTCTTTAAGGTCCCCAAGAAAAGTACATGCACGTGCACACAAAAACAAAGCAAGGCAAGTGATCACTGTTATTATCTGATAACTTGCCCTGGGCACTAGTGTTGAACTCAGGGAGATCAGGCTACACCATTACCCTGTATATGCCTACATGACAGAACCAAAGCAGGCCCTGAAACCTGTCCTGGATCTTGGCTCTTGCCCCTGCAATGCGGGCTAAGGACAAGCCAGAGCACTTGGCCAGGAGAAGCATGTACTAGAGTAAAAAAGCATTTGCTACAATACTTGGGGCAATTGGATTCTCACTGAGCTTGCCTTTCAGGCACAAGGAATGTAAAGTCACAAATGGAGTTAGTACGTTGGCTGTCTCACAAGAGGAAGCTCTGACTTTTTTTTTCTCAAGCCTTAAAAAAATGGAGCCACAAGAGCCACTCTCAGTGCCTCCCACTAGACAGGATGGCACAATAACAGCTTTCTCTGGGGGCAGGCAACTGTAAAGTGCCTTTGAACTAGATCAATCCAAAAAACTGGAATGGAACAATGAGTTAGGGAAAAGAGGCTGTGAGCACCCCTTAGCCAAAAAATCTAGTTGCATCATCTATAAATAATGGTAAATTTTCTGTATCCTTTTCAGTCTTCAATATTCCTTACTTTACTTTCTTATCTAATTGCATTAGCTGGTACTTCCAGAATAGCATTATAGCATTAATTAGAGATAAGTAGCACCACTGTTTTATTACAATATTTAATGGACATGCTGTTAGGATTTCACCATTAAACATGAAGCTAGTTTTCAGTGTGTGTATGTAGCCATTTAGCAAAATTTCTTTTATCAGAAATGAATATTGACAATTGAATTTTATCAAAGATGTTCTCAGCATCAATCAAAACATTGCTATTGCTTTGACCTATTTTTTAAAATGTACTACACCTTCATTGTGCTTCGCAGATATTGTGTTTTTTTACAAACTTAAGGTTTGTGGCAACACTCTGTTGAGCAAGTCTATTGGCACCATTTTTTCCAACAGCGTTTTCTCACTTTGTGTCTCTGTGTCACATTTTGGTAATTCTCACAGTATTTCAAACCCTCCATCAACAAAAAGATTACGACTCACTGAAGGCTCAGATGATGTTTGTCATTTTTTTTATCATTTTTTATTTCAGGTATGTACATTTTTTAGACATAATGCTATTGCACGCTTAATAGACTACAGTACAGTGCAAACACAACCCTTATATGCACTGGGAAACCAAAAAACTCATGCAACCCACTTAGGCATACCTTGGAGGTTGGGTTCCAGATCACCACAATAAAGCAAATATTGCAATAAGGTGAGTCACATGCATTCCTTGGTTTCCCAGTGCAAAAAAAAGCCATGTCTACACTATACTGCAGTCTTTTGACCTATTATTATGGAAAACCATGTGAATATTTTCTCAAAATCTTCTCAAATCCATCTTCTCCTCTGTCTTTAAGCCCACCCCACTGTCACACTGAGTTCAAGGACTCCTTGTGTCCTGCCTGGGCTGATGCAATAGAGCCTTAACATGGTCCCCCTGGCCCCAGGCTCACCATCCTCCCCACTGCACACTCCTGGCACCTTGATCTTGGACTTCCAGGCTCTAGAACTGTGAAAAACAAGTTTCCATTACTTATAAACCATCCATTCTATGGTACTTTGTTAAAGCAACCAGGACTGACTAAGACAGTAGATAAACTTGACAGATGTGGTGATGGGAATTTTAATCTCTAAAATAGTGACCTATAATGTCTCAGAGTAAAACTTTCTAGTTCAAAGAATTTAGCAATACTAAGTCAATAGATCAAAGTAATCAAAGATTTTGGAAAGGAACTTACATGTGATCTAGTCATCTTTCCCTCCTGCTTTTAATTTTGAACTCCCTGGGGAAAATTATTGGTCCCAAATAAAATGGAAATATTTAATGAAACACACTATTTTGTACACAGATTTTCTAAAAAGAAACAGTTTTTAAAAAAATTTTTAGTTGATTTACAATGTGTTAGTTTCAGGTGTACTAAGTGAATCAGTTATACATATACATATATATCCATTCTTTTTAAAAAGAAACAGTTTTAACTTCTGAGAAAATATTCACACAGTTTTTAAAAAATGATAATAATACAGAAAATGTTTTTATTGTTAGATAATTGTCAGGATTCAGCTGGAATACAGTGTAAGGAATGTATGACCTTCAACTGTCCATAATGTGGAAAAAGGGAAACATGCAAGGCAGGAAGATCTGGCCTTGAGAGTTGATAGGAGTGACTTAATTTCTTGGAATCTGAGTTGCTTTACCTGTAAACTGAGGATAACCTCTTGCCTTACAGGACTGTTGTAAGCTCTAAATGAGGTAATATAGGTAAAGCTGCTGGTATAAAATAGGTGCTTAAAAAATTGTAGCTCTCATTATTAAACCTATCAGTTTGAGCTTTTTCTGAGAACAAACATATTAACTGATAAATTTCCTCCACTTACAAAATATAACTAGGGGGAAAAATGGGGCAGGCACATGGGACCTCTCTGTACTATCTTTGCAACTTCATGCGAATCTATAATTATTTTAAAGTAAAAAGTTAGAAAGAATTTCTTCTACTTAGAGTCCTATGAGAAGTACCTGTACCTTCACATCTTGTTCAATGGCGTTGCTGTTATCGTTCATGTGGTAGATAACGAAATCCTGCTATTTGTCCTATGAGTGGCAGGATGGATTAGAAGAAGCACTGCAACTACGATTCCAAGGACTTGAGACAACTTACTTCACAATCACGGCATCTATAAAATGAAGATTTATATTTAATCTCTCTCAGCTCTATGATATTCTAAATCTGATGGTACAAAGCTACAGTTACTGCAAAGAAACATTATATAAATTACCAAGATTTGCTGAATAAATGTCTAATGTTAAAAGTGACTAAACAATAAACATTTACTTATTGCATAGTAAAAGTTAACATAATATAAAGGTAAAACGAAATATTATATATATTTCAAGATTGTAATATTTAAAATGTTATATAAATCCAAATTATTGTATTTAAGATATTACTTAAATTCAAAACGTGGTGAAATCAGATGCCTGCCTGCAGAGCTGATGGTACTCTAAGGAAGTTGGTTTCTACACATTTTTTTTTCTACACATTTTTGATCATGTACTCTGATCACAAAATATATGCAGTATTGTCAGTCTCCATATTAAATACTAGTAAAGTTTGATTTCTTAATTTAGATAAAAATAGAGATATTCTAACAATTTCTTCCCACATTCCAGCTGCTCTAGGGGTCAGATTTGTTGCAGGAAGTTTCCTATTCTATATTCCAGGACTACACCTGTTGAATCCTCTGTTCTGATCATTCTTGCTGTAATCACATCTTAACATTAAGTTCCCCATTAGCAATTGGTTTCAGTGGTAGATGTCAGAGAAAGTCTATGCTATAAACTGTCTTTTCGTTTTTCATCATTTAGGAGTAATCTCAGGACTAAAAACTTCAGGACTTTTAAGAAGTATCTATCTTATTTTAAGAATACCCTAATTTTAAAAAATAAATACTAATTTGTAAAGCACATTATTTCTGCAGGGAAAGGATTATTATACAGGTTGATTTGTAAATTATGTGTGACATTTTGTATGAAAGTGGTTTTCTATAATTTTGCTCTCTAAATGGTGACTCAAATCCCTTAAAATGCCTTAAATATAATGTAGTCTGGATACAGGGACAAAGTGGAAGGAAATATTGAATGTTTGAATTAGAAAGAATTCCTAAACTTGTTTAATGATGAATTTTAGCTTTGATGGTGATCAGAGGAAAAGTCTTTTCCTGAACAGAAAAATAAGTGATTTTTTAACGTGGACGCAGCGTTATGCTGCTTTGCCACAAGGAAAGGAGGAAGAAGAAAACTGGTTGATCAGGGTATAAGAAAAGGTGACTTAAAGCCTATCTGGATTAGTATCAACCACACTTAAGAGGTGCGTCTATCCAGGCTGTCAGGCCCAGAACTGGCACAAATCATCCAAAATGAAAGTAGACTATGGATTCATGCTCCTATTTAGGTCTTTTAATGCAGTAGGAAAACATATTTGAGGAACTAAAGGCACATAATCAATGTCAATTTGATTCCACAAACAATTCTTAAGCATTTTGTGATACAGGTATTAATAAGGCATGATCTGTGCCCTCAAGAGTTTCACAATCTAGTGAGACAGACATATCACAAATAATTGTTGTATAAGGAAGGTATGTTTAAGTGATAACCCCACCTCATCTGACTACTCTCCTTAGTCTGGCCACCCTCCGCCTTAGATAAATACTGTTGAAGGAGCTCCTTCTGATTATCCTTTTCGAATGAAAACTCTAAGCTGTCCTTTCACTTATGGCTATATCACAGTTTACATTAAAAGGTCAAAGGATAACATTGTTTCGGGGGAGAAGTTCTTCGTATGCAATGCCGTGCATGTTAGATTTCTGCCCGGCTTATATCCTATAAAATCGAATAAATGCAAGCCTCCTTCTGGGGCTCAAAGGACTATGCGCTGATAGACATAATTATCTGCCAACTATAGCAGCTGCCATAAAAGCAGCTAGACATTCTGGAATGATGCTTTTCCAATGAAATGACAAAAGCCAGACCAAACAAAAGACTGACATGGTCATTCTGGGTTGAAATCAGTTATTCCATCCAGCTGTTCTACTTTTGGCAAATCATTTGAACGTTGAACCTGCGTCATTAAAAAGCCAGTGTGAAAGCAGTCAGCTTTACTCCATAGGAACAGCTAATAACACCAGCTGTGGAGCATTTTACCAAAACCCACTGGGGCCGAAGTAAGTGTAGTAAAGTGGGAGAAATTATTGCACATTATCAGGCTGTGATGCATTTTACTAAAATCTACTAAGGCCAAGAGAAGTGCAGTGTAATACAAGAAATCACTGCAAATTAATAAAGAGAGAGTGTGGTTGTTCCAGAAGACCTTGGTCCCCAGGTAGGCAGGTCATCCCTTCAGCACCCATCACTCATTATTTCGGCCTCTGTATTAGAAAGGTACAGCAGTGAGGGGAAAGCAGGGAAACCGTGGGGAGAAGTGATCTGAGCTCCTTGATGGAGGGACCACCAGTAGAAAAGCTGGCACAGACGGGGGGAGAGGGACTGTGTAAGAGCTTGCCGCATCATCCGCGCGCCTCACCCTTCCGGGTCAGGCATCTCCAAATTCCCAAGACTCTGGGGACCAGAACCCTGGAGAAGGTGGGGGTTTCCCACGGCGGAATCCCCGGGGAAACGGCGGAGATGGACCCAGCGGGAGAGCTAGTGTCCACTCCTAGGGGTCTGATCGGAGCCGAGACAGTCGGCGAGAAAGGGGCGGGGGCGGCAGGGGGCGGCAGGGGGCAGCGGAGAGGAGGGGCGAGGCGCCGTCGCCCGGCCCCCTCCCCTCCCCTCCCTACGGGCGTGCACCCCTCCTCTTTCCCTCCCCGGTCGGTCACCCGAGCGCGTCCCGCCGAGGCCGGGCTACTTCAAGGGGAGGCGCCAACTCATCGCGGCGGCGGGCAGTAACGGCGACCTGGGAGGCGGAGCGGATGTGGCTCGGGCCTGCGTTGTGGTAAGGACATAGGGGATGGCGTAGGAAGTCGCGGGGGGGGGAAGCCAGGCTAGAAGCCGGCCGCTCTCAGACCTCCCCAGCGGCGAGCCACCTCTCCCCACACCGCCCCCGCCGCCCGAGCTCCGGGCGAGGTTTCGGTGAGGAGTAGCCCCTGGGGCGACAGCCCCGCCCGCGCCGCGAGCCCAGGCGTCTCCGCGCGTGCGCAGGTCGTCTGGCGAGGGCTGGGAGTGGGGCTCTGGAGCGACACCCTCGCCCAGGCCTAGGGCCGAGGTGTCGCCGCGCGTGCGCAAAGTCGCTGGCTGGGGCTGGGCGCGCGGCTCCCGGATTGTACTTCGACCCAGGCTGCGGGCCGAGGCGGCGCTGCGCATGCGTGAGTTGCCTGGCGGAAGTGGCGCGCCGCCGCGAAGGTTGTCTCTGGCTTCGCACCAGGGCTGTTGCCTTCTTGGAGGCCTCTCCTCCTTCGGCCAGCGCAGGGGAGGCACCTGCCTCGGAGTTCCTTTCGCACTCTCCGACCTCGTTAGGCTGCTGTTTTCATTTATGTCGCCTAGACCCTCGGCTCCCGTTCTGTGTATCTATATTCACCCAGCTTCCGGCCCCGGCTCGCTAAACTCATTATTACGCGTTCGACATTTGGTCTTGATGTCGAGGGATAGCGCAGAAAGTTTGACTAAGCTCGGCGAAGCTGTTTTCGAACTGCTGTGGAGGGATGGGGAGAAATCACCGTAAATCTTTATTTTAAGCCGGAAGATACTACCCTGCTTAGCCCCGGAAATAGGGATTTTCAGACGCTGAAAACTTTCCAAGTGCTCTGCCCTGGCCGAGAAAGAACTTCCTGCCTGAGTTAGAAGGCTAGTTCAGAGTGAACTTTTTGCTTTTGTTCTTTGGGAAATTACATAATAAGTCGGAACAGTTAGAGCCCAGGACTGTAACAAAATGCATGTCGTAGAGCTGCCTGATGCCGCGCTTGGCGACTTAATTGAAACGACGCTCTTTCCCCCAGACTGGGAATTGACAGTCCCTGTTTAATGTTTATTGAGCCTCCTGGCTTTGCACCCTTCTAGTACTACGTTCCTGCTTGGCTTTACACCTTCCTGGGCAGTGGTACTTAAGTCAGTTTCGTGACTCCTGGGGATGTTCTTGGAATGATTTTTAACGTCATTACTGTGTGCTTTGTAATCTTATATGATGTGATGATACGGACATTTGGAGGCTAGAATAGAAGAAGCCCTTAACTATCAGAGAATCTGAGTACTCAAAGGTGAAATGTAATCTCTCTTAACCAGGGCACTAGGCAATATACACGTTATTAAGTAGTAGGTAAAGGCAGGTGGAATGCTATATTCTTGCACACCCCACTCCTTCCACGCAGGCCTTAACTGCTGTTACTGGGTTTACCAAGCCGGCCTCCACCCTTAGGCCTGTGCATTTGCTATTTTCTCGATGCTCAAAGCTCACTTTCCCCCTCCACCCAAATCTGCATGGCACCCAACTTCATTCAGATCTCAGATTAATTGCCATCAGTTCAGAGATGACTGCCTCATCTAAAAGAGCCACTTCTCTCACTGTCCATCTCCTTATCCTGCTCTATTTGGCTTTTGTAGCATTTATCACTATCTGATACTCTGGATTTGTATGTGTATGTGCTGTCTCCCCCATAATGGCAGCTCAGTAGATATTTGTTAACTGTATAAATGAAATTGGTATTTGGCTCCAGAAGTACTTTATACTGAAGTCGCAGTGTGCATTCATTCATTCAAAAAACATTTACTGAGTGACCACTTTGTATCAGGTTGTCTAGCTGTTTAGAGTATGTCAGTGAACAAAATAGACAAAGATCTCTTCCCTCTGGAGCTTACATTCTAGCAAAGCATGATTAACAGTAAACATATTAATTATTTATTGGGTTAGAAAATTATAAGTGCCATAAAAAATGAAAAAAGGAGAGCAGAGAAAGGGGACTGAGTACAGGTGTGCCTTGCAATTTTCAACAGCATGGTTATGGTGGGTCTGAAGGATAAACTGAAGGTGATGTTCATGATGGAGAACTGGTTTTTAGAATTCAGTATCTTTCTGGGAGAACTTTGTTTGTTTTACCATTCTCTGCTATGTGTTTCATGGGGCCCCACAGGATGTCCATTGTGACAAATGTAACTGTCCTTTGTAGTATATAGGTGAAAAAATATTTTTTCCAAAAAGTTCACATTATTCAGGATTTTACTTTAATGCAGCAAATTAAATGAAGAGACTGGGCTCTTGAATGGAAAAGACTGGCCAAACGAATACTACAGATGGGTTGAAAAAAAACATGTATATTTTCTTCACGTTTTACTGCACTTTGCAGTTGCTTCTTAATGTCCCGCTGACTGTGGATGACTAGGTGAAGTTGTTTTCTAAGAGTGGTTGTTGATTTTCTTTATTTGGAACTGTGTTGAAGATTCACCTGGTATGATGTCATGCTTTAAGTTACTAAATTATTGCTCTTTGAGATTTCTGAAGGAACCAGACAAGCCTAGCCAAATTGCACTCCGTAATTAAAGGATGCTTAGTGAAAGAGGTTGATAGGAACAATTTTAGAAAGTGAAGTGTTTTTCCCTTTGGGTCCTTTACTTAAGTGGATTACAAACACTGTGTTTAAATATCAAAAGCTATTAATCTAAAACTATAAATGTAGAGTACCCATGGGATTTGCTTATGACTTTAGCAGTTTGTCATATTTAATTTTGGTTTTATCACGTGGTTAAAGTGAAATTAAAATGCCCCTAAGATGCTGTTACTTTTGAGGTTTACTGGAGTTGACTTACTATAAATCAAAATTGACCAGGAAAGAGATATGAGAATATCTTTGGAAGAGAATGGAATGATGGAATGGAATGATCAGCGTTGTAGGTTGGCATCAGGGACTCCTTTTCATGAAAATGGAGGGCGAAATGAGGATACTTACTTAAAAGGAGCAAATAGCTTCCCTCCCTGAAAGGGATATTCATAGTGTCCTTCAATGGAAGGCTGATATGATCCTTCTCGCTTTCATTATCCAGAAGGAACATGTGTCTAATTCACACAGTGACCTCATCTTAACGTGAAAGTCTCCAGGGAATTTAAGGTGTAGTAGTTTCTTTCAGCATGCCTGTGACACTGGGGTGTGTCTTCTATGTGTCTTCAGCCTTGCTAATCTAACCTGAGCTCATATCTATTGGGTTGGCCAAAAAGTTCGTTTGGGTGTTCCCGTAACATTCTATGGAAAAAACCCGAACGAACTTTTTGGCCAACCCAATAGTACCTCTGTCTCCCCGGGGAGCAAGACATTGACAAATACCAGAATGTGAGTAAATCATGAATTGTGACCCCATTATAATATGTTCTGTATTACGCTGAATGTATTTGACTGAACAGTTTGAATCATAAATGGAAATGAGCCAAGGCCAAGAGGGGCTACCATGTTGAATGAATATTTACATTGTGGGGCAGAGATGGTTAACAGTTAGTATTCTATTTAATAGGCATGTTAAGGGCTTTAAAAAAAATTGTATTAGATATATAAGAATCTAAAATTCAAATGGATTTACAAATGTCTCAAGTATCAGTTCATTTTGGCTAGTATAACAATCTAAAAATATTTGTATAGTTTACGTTGATTATTTTTCGTATTTGAAAGTGACACTTTTTGCTGTGCTTGGCCGAAAAGACCAACTTTAATGAGCTCAGTAATATTTTCGAACTAAATGCAACTTTGGTTTGGATTAAAGCTCTACTTCATCACTCTTGGCGAAGTTTGGAAACCTTTGTACAGTGAAATCATTAAAATAGCAACTATGTTTCTGTGTTTCATAAGTCAGTTTGCTGTTTATCATACACATATGGCAATACCATTCCCACTGAGGTTGTGCTTTAGTTTTAGTTCGGCTTTTAGTTTTTTAGTTTTGTCCATCCTGTTTATAATTGTCCCACTTTAGTTAGCAGCTGTGTAGGGTATCTTACTGTTATTTGTCATTGACTTATGGCAGCTCATTCAAGTGGAGGTAAATTATGCCTATCATCCTTTTTTGCAAGCGATAATTGGGATCATGTTTAATTATTTTATATTACATTTATACGTATTTATATTATTTCTAGCTTTCTGATGACATACCATTTAATGACTCAGCTAAGCATATAGGTGGGAACCCTCATTATCCCACTGACATGTACTTGGTCTGGAGCTCGTTAACACACTGATACTGTAAACTGTATGCTGGTGTCCTAAAAGACATTGGTTTTCCTTCATGCCTTGTTTCTTTGATTATAAAAGCATCATCAACTGTGTTGCCCAGATGGGAGAATTTGTTGAGAGCATTGAGTTATGTATTGCAAGAAAACTTTTCTATACATTATGTGTCTCAAGCATAGCTTTAGATTTGACCTCATACTGTTAAGTTGAATTTTAAAATATACATGACACTGGACTTTCTCTGCAAAAATTCTTCCTTTTTTCCTTCTGGGATCACTTTTAGAAAACAGATACCAGCATTTAGAAGCTTCTAGTTAATTGCAAGAGAACAATTTCCATGGAAAATGCCTTCTCTCAGATACAGTGTATCTAGTTTATTAGCTCTTAAGGCCTTTGCATACTACTGGGTTGGGGTAATATTGACACAGGCAGCTACCAGCTGGATATCCTTTTGCTCCCAAGTTACTTCTTTTTTTTTTTTATGTATTTGCTTTCAATTTAGTGCCCACTGCAGGCACTAAGTCAATGT